CGAAACTTTTTCTTATTAGAATTTTTGTCACCCTTTTTCTGTATGTTTTTCTTTGAATACAAAGCATTGTCCGTAGAGTCTTTGCTGCAGTCAAATTTGACGTCTTGCAACAACAAACTCTTAACGCCGTCGACAGTTAATTTTGCTTTTGAATTTTCTACTGCCATAACGAGTGCTTGATACTCATTAGGCAACCCAGCAAGCAATAGTGAAGCAACAACTTCGTCGCCTATATTTAGACCAGCATTTTGCAGCTTGATTGAAGTCATTACCACCTCGTTTACGTAATCCTGTATGGATTGGAATTGCTTCAGCTTCAACTGCACCAGCTTTTTTAAAAGCTCTACCTTGCGAGTTAAACCACTGTCTTCATATGCTGCCAATAACGAGTCCCATGCGTCTTTTGCACTTTCGGCGTTTGCTATGTGCGAAAAATTACTCGGCTCTACCATGAGCGTAATTTCTGCCAGCGCCCGTTCATTTGCGTCACGATCCTTTTCCGAAGAATTATCAGACAACCCATTCTGGGTTATCTTCCAGCAACTTTTCAACACCAAGCAGGATTTGGCATTCCTCCGCCATACGTCGAAGTTTTCGCGTCCTCTTAATTTTTCAAAAGGAAAGCTGAGTGTTCCTGTTGCCATTTTTAATTGATTTAAAACTTTTTGGTGAATAAGCCCATAACCTATTGAGCAGAGATAGACACGCGCAGTTTCAATGTAAGATGGCGACAGACTTCATTCAGTATATAAGAAACATGTAATACAATGGAATAATGGAAAGAAGAAAAGTGATAACTAGAGTTGCCAGATTTATATTATTTTACAATAAAACCAAAATCAAAGATAATAATATTTGCTTATTTTTAAATGAAGAAATACTTTTTTTCATTAAGTTTCGTTAAAAGGTTTCCAAGATACAGTACTTTAAAGAAAGGTATGTATGACTTTTTTTTTAATCTAAGTTCCGTGTAAATAGGCAACCCTACGTCATATCGGCAAAATATGCTGCAAGTATACTCATGTCACCTAGACCTTCAATCTCTTTTCAACTTTCATCCAAATCCTAAGAGGACGCGCACAGAGGTGGCAGCGGTGACATGAAATGCCTCATAACTTAAACGAATATATGTAACATTCACACCATATCACGAAAATTTGGTTTAAAATTATAGTGCACACTTTCTTCTTTATACCATGTCCCCAACAAAAAGTTAACCATCTCAAATCGAACTTAACCACTTCACTAACTATTGCTGTCCACACTGCAGTTTGAGGTTTATAAAACAGTACAAATGTAAAGAACAGTGTTCGGACAAACAAAAATCGATTCAGGACTAAATTACTTCAAAAATCGGAGCAAAAACAAATTTTCCGCACTAAATTGAATTTTTTATTTTTATGTCTGACATTAATTGTTTGACTAAAATATTTTCTATTCATGCAAAATAAGAACGCGGGGCAATGTAAGGATAATATGTTACATNTTATTTAATTTGTCTTACCTTTTTCAGACAATCTTAGGCTTTCTGCACATTGGTCGTCCAATCATAGTTGCTTCATCGTCACAATCATGATGCTACGATTACATTACGACTACACTTTCGCACACTCGGTCGTGATATTTCAATTCATTTGGCGTCTAAAAATTCACTTGGAGAAGGTATTTTCTGTTTTTCTGGTTGATATTTTCGCGAAATATTTACAAAAACCTGCAATTTTTAAAATATAGACTTTGCTGCAACAATTCTAGACATCATTTTGCAGTAACATCTCTTCTTGTCTTTTCCTGAAATGTGTTTTGTGCATGCACACAGGGACTTTTTACAATTTCGTAATATTTTATAGCTAAAACATTCACATTTATTGAATTTTGATGCAGTTATCCACTTTTTAATAATTTCCAATGATTTTATGCAAAAAATACTAATTTTTATGCAATTTTGATGCAAATATTAACTTTTTCACTAATTTATCACCATAAAATGTAAACAAACAATGCGTGCACAACGATTAGCAAACGACAGTGCCGGACTTATCCGTTTCTGCATCTTCTACGATTTGCCGATAACAAGCCGATAACGACAAGTGTGCAGATCTCCTTTGAAATGCATGTGCTCGGCTCAAAATTTCAGGGCGAGACGATAACTCAACTATGATTGGACGACAAGTGTGCAGATAGCCTTAGACAAGCTGCAGTTGATCAAGCAAGCTGTCCACACGGTGCAGCGAACAAAGGTGGCGCCGTCAGTGGTACCGCTACTTTGGTTTTGCCGATTTTGGCAGTTGTGGTAACTTGTAAATAAACCTTTGTTTACAAATCAGCGAAAGAGAAATTTGAATTATAAGTGAAAAATCAGTTTAAATCGTGTTAATTTGCAATTTGTGGGTGATTTTTGAATTGAAGACTGTGTAAAAACCAATACAATGAAGTGCTGTGTGTTAAATTGCGACAACCGTCAAGACGCAAGAAGCGTAGATGCAAGAGTAGCGCTGGGACGAATCGCTGCATTTTGTGTAAATAGGGCACGGCAAAGCCGTTCCCGAAATGTTTCTCTATTATTATATTAACAGCCTTTCCTCACAATGATTTTGTTTCTGCTCCACGCAGCCTCCATTAGCAAGTTAACTAATCAGTCCCGCAGAGATGCTGCTGCAGTTTTCTGTAGCAGCCTTAATTGCAGAGCAATGGAGTGCACTAAAACGTTTGCTGAAGCAGCCTCAATTGCAAAGCAATGGAGTGCACTACAATGTTCACTGTTCTCTAATAGATTAGGTGAAAAATGCAATATTTTCGCATTTAGCAAAATTAAAACACGTTTTTCGCAGTAAAGTGAACTGCTTTGGCTGTTTCAACTCGTTCTTCTTTTCGCTCTATTCTTTGTTTACTTGTGGTACACAAATGTCAACGCCCAGGACGGCGCAATCTTGTATTCTATCATTCTTGGGCTGTCCAGTTGAAACCGAAACTGCTTACCCTAAAACTGACAATATGACAGCTTCCCGAACTACAAGCAATCCCACTTCATATACAGAAGGTATTAAAAATTAACTTTCTTAGTTTTTATTGTTATTATTTTTTTTAAATGCAGCTTAAGCAGTTATTAATGATCGGCTAAGCACATCTGTGGGTTAACGTACCAGCGATTATCCATTTTAGTGAACGTAGGCCCAACTGTTGTGGAAACGTCAGGGAAAGGTCCACATGGTACCTACTCGACTCGACTGGCAATATCAAAAATCCGATGGCTGTTTTTTAAGGCGGATCTCCATAGCATGCGTATGCGTACCTAGACGCATGAAAACAAAACAAAAATTTATGAATTTTGAATTCTAAGCGTAAATGTCAAACTCACGCATACGGATACGCATGCTATGCAGCTCCGCCTTTAGCCGCTCATAAGGTGCACAAACTTTTTTTCAAATACGCACTCTACACAATTTTTTACTAAAATGCATTCATTTTAACAGATTATGGTTTATTTAAGTTGAGTAAAGTAGTATATGTAAAGTGTTATAGGCGAATTTACATGATTCAACATTCACCGGCGATTAGTTGAACCAAAAGTTTAACCCAAGTAGGCAGCTGACCAACTTCATTGAAAGCGATTAGTTGAAAGGCCATTTACACCATTCAACTGCTGCATTCAACTAAAAGTTGCCTGTAAAATCGCCCCATGTAAATTCCCTATTAAATATCAGCAATATTATCAATACTTTTTTTATATATTAAAATGTTATTTGTTTTTGTTATTTTATGGCCTTAAAACAATTATATTCAAACATTTTTATGAGCTTGAGGCCGTTTTTAGTGAAAACTTATTGTGGAAAAGCAACAATAATTTGGAAAAATGATAGAAGTGATAGCTATTTCGGAATTCACCACATTTGCTCATCAGACTTCTTTCAAAAACAACAACCTCATTTTGTGTTGGTACTTGCAGTGTGCACATCGCGGATTAATGCATCGTAGCCATGTGCGTTAAAGTTAGTTGCAGCTTTTTTGACAGATATCCCNTTGAATTTTTGATAAAAGAGGCTAAATTAGTATATGTATATGTATGTACATACATATAAGTAAAATATAAATATNTTCACCACATTTGCTCATCAGACTTCTTTCAAAAACAACAACCTCATTTTGTGTTGGTACTTGCAGTGTGCACATCGCGGATTAATGCATCGTAGCCATGTGCGTTAAAGTTAGTTGCAGCTTTTTTGACAGATATCCCATTGAAAATTATGTCAAAAAGCTGCAACTAACTTTAAAGTCGACTTTATTTTGACTATGACTACGGGCCATTCATTACACATTATAAGGTGGTGTTGATGGCGAATTTAGATTNTATTTAAGTAACACATACATAAAAAAACCAGTCATAAGTATTTCAGTTGTTTAAGAGTTTAAGGGCCGGTTACTCAATGTCTGGTTAACACTAATCTCCGGTAAAACATCGTTATCGACGTTACCGACTCCATGTTATATGCATGGAGCCGAACACGTCGATAATGACGTTTAAACGGAGATTAGTGTTAACCAGACATTGAGTAACCGGCCCTAAGCAAGATAAATGAGAATGTGTTAGTTTCCATCACACAATTCTTGTCCGGAATTGTTAAAACACATTGGCCCGTAGTCATAGTCAAAATAAAGTCGACTTTAAAGTTAGTTGCAGCTTTTTTGACAGATATCCCATTGAAAATTATGTCAAAAAGCTGCAACTAACTTTAAAGTCGACTTTATTTTGACTATGACTACGGGCCATTCATTACACATTATAAGGTGGTGTTGATGGCGAATTTAGATTTTCGCCGAGGTGCGTCTTAATGTCAAAGTTATGTGTTTGTTGTAAAATGAATTCGCCTTGATTACAACAAACACATCATTTTGACATTCAGTAGTACTGCGGCGAAAATTTAATTCGCCATCAACACCACCTTGTATAAATTCGACTTGGTGTCCACATTTACGATTTATTAAACACCTACATTATCCATTCATTAAGACCGATTTATTTTATTATTTATTTCTTTTGTTATGTTTATTCTTACAACGAGTTTCTGCACCTCCTTGTCTTCTTCAATTTTGTGCACACCTCTTATATGACGCTTAATCCTGAAAAATTATATACATACACATATACATATATGTACATGTAGGGCATAATCATACTTTATTACTAACTTGTAAGCATCTGGAAACTGCTTTTCACAAACGCCACATTTATAAGGTAATCCAGTGTGTTGCATGCGATGATTATAGTATTGATCATATTTGGAGAATTTAGAACCACAAATCACGCACTTGTAACTGAAATATCCATGGTACTGCATGTGCCTATTTAAAATACGTTTGTGGATGAAAGATTTTCCACAAAGGTGATTTAGGTCTTGTATGAGCAAGATTGAGTTGTTTACTTTTTTCGATAAGACCAGCCCAGCTTCATTTAAGTTATTGCCGCTCTGCATATCCTTATCCGATTAAACTAGAAACTTTGTTGTTGTTGTAGTGTCAGTACTAAGTTTTTTATCAATATTTATTTCGTGTTCGATATCATTTGATGCAGATGTTTCATCATCATCCATAAAATGTTCATTCCATTCTGGTGATACTTTTATATCCTCTACGTGATCCTTGTAAACAAATAGAAAATAATTATTGTTTAATTATATCTAAATCGTATTTGATATACCATATCTACAGTATCTGGCATCTTAGTTACTTCCATTAGCTCTTCATGTACTGGAACCCATTCAAAAGTGTTGGCTATACTTTCTATCTTCACTTTTTCCGTTTGTGTGCAACGTAATTCATTATCAGCCCTTCTCGCCTTTTCAATAAAATCATAAACGTCTTTAAGTTTTTGGGCACAATCAAGGCATAGATATTGCATCCGGGCATCATCGAGTTCATTTGGATCATCTTTCAAACTTAAATTAATTTGTGTACATTTACAAAAACACTCTTTGTATGATATATCCAAAGAGTCAACAGGCTGATACCAATCTAGCAGATGCACCCGATCTTCCGGCGACAAACAGGCACGGCATATATTTGATAAATCCATCTGAACTTTTCACCACTGCCGTATTGATAATTCAAGTCTTAGTCGGTAAAAAATAGTTTTGTAGAATGTGTGATTATATATTGGTAAGACAGAACAATTTGAAAATAGGGATGTCGAAAATATTTCGATATAAAAAATGGTACAATTTTAATGCTTTTAAAAGTCGACTGTCCGACAAATAGATTTCTTCGGTAGATATAGTGATGTTCCGATATCAGTGAAAACTATCTCCTGAAATTGAATCAAAATAAATTAAAATGTACTTTAATAAATTTAAGGAAAAATATTGTTATAAACTTACAAATTGGTCATAGGCAAAAGATTGTTTCTTTTGTTTACTTTTTACCGCTCTTCTTCTGCCATTGTTTACTATTCACGGTGCATTATCAAACGTCAAAATTACTGGCCTACTACTATTTCAAGCAGAAGAAAGAACACGAACATTTTCTTGTGCATTTTCTTAAGAGCTGGATATTTAAGCCCTGTATGCAGCTCTCAAGAAAACGGTCAAGAAAAAATTGCCATTATTTCGTGTGTGTGTCCAAGGAATTTTGACATTTTTGGTACTTCACAGCCTGTTGCCTCACTCTTTCCTCAAGAAATAATGGAACGGGCATATATTTCTGTTGCAAACCTGGGTTGCCTTGTGCTCTTTTTTCACAAAAAACTTTAGAAACCCATATTAGAAAGCGTAGTTAATTTCTTAAGAAAGTAAAAATAAGCTTTTTATTGCAATCTTTTCTTGACCGTTTACTTGAGAGCTGCATACAGGCTATTTAATCAGATTATCGGTCTACGCAACACCATTTTGGGGAGACAAAGCAAACTGGAGGCTAAGGTCGATGATTTGCGAAAGAAGATAACCGAAAATGTCAGAAGTTTACTCATTTTCGTATAATATTATCAGCCCATAATGAAATAAACATACGGTTAATAAAATTTAAATATTAAAGGAAGTTTTCGTTTTCAAGAATTTTAATTTATACGTTTTTGCGAAAGAGGATTTTGAAGTCTTCAATTCATATTTAAGAAGTCATTTTCGTTTTGCACAATAAATCTTGATGTTTCAGATGCCAGATCGATGCGAGGTGGTGGCTCAGCAATAAACTCTCCGAGAATGCAAATTGCTTATCAAAAAGGTCCATCAGTCATTCTGTCGAATAAAAGGGGGCGCTGTTATTGAGTTCCAATTGGAAATTTCAGATGTTCTCCTATTAAAAGCCATCGACGCATTGTTTGATGTGTAGGAAAAACTACAAGGCAATGAATATAAAGAGGAAATGGTATGAAAGAAATAGAGTTAATTACATTATTTCTATACTCTAGGTGTTATTATAACGGACCAATAATGTGCATTAATATATTTTGTTATTTGCAGATATCTTACATATTCACATTGGGCGCTCCGTCTGGAAATATTGATGGGACGATAAAAAAATGTTTTCGGACGAATTGTTAATCAATTTTAAGTGGGATGACAGGTGTGGAAAGAGAGCGTTAATGAAACTTAAGCTCATTGACCGCATCTTATTTGGTAGGTTTATTTTTCCTTATGAAATTTGAAGTACTTATAACTTTATATTTATCTTAGATATTTTTAAAGTCAAAGGCCGCGTCAATTTCGAAAAAGAAGTAAAAACAGCGTTCGTGTCAGCCATAATAGGCAGAAGCAAAAAAAAGTATGCCGCAAAAAACCTTCGCAACAGGAAGGCGAATAGTTTGAATTTCTTTCTTTTTAACTGCATTTTCTTCATAGTGGATTTTAATTTTAAGTTTTTATGTGAAAATTAGGATCTTTTTAATACTTCATTGATTTTTCTTGTATAATTTTTATCTTATATATTTACTTTCGGCTTTTTAATGCTCGACGAAGAAGAAGTTGATATTTTAACGTTTTTATGTAAAAATTTATATAATTAATTTTAGTATTTAAACTTTATGCTATTGAAGTTTATCGAGAAAGTCGATATTTTTGTTCTTAAATTAATATATCAAAGATATCATATGGTTCAGTTTATTATATTATTGTCTTCAAACAACTGAAACTTCTAAGTCTTATAAAGTGTGATATTTTAACGTTAAATCAAGAAATTCTAATTTTTGAGATCCCAAAAATGTGATTGAACTAATGTTCATTATATGTATTAATATTCGACAATATTAATATCTCAAAGATCTCGTTTTGTTACCGGAAGGCGAATAGTTTTAATGTCGTTCTAATTAACTGATTTTTTTCCTAGTGGATTTTAATTTTTAATGTTTATGTGAAAATTAAGAGCTTTTTACTATTGTAGTTCATCGATTTTTTGCAGTTTTTATTTTATGCTTACTTTTTCCTTTTTTTTGAGTTTTTATGTGAAAATTTAGATCATTAATTTTAGTCCTTAAACTTTTTTTATTGAAGTTCATCGAGAAAGTCGATATTTTTGTTCTCACATTAATGTATCAAGATATCATATGGTTACAGTTCATTATATTAATGTTTTCAAACCACTGAAACTTCTAAGTCCTATAAAATATGATATTTTAACGTTAAATGAAGAAACTCTAATTTTTAAGATTTCAAAAATGTATTAATATACGACAATATATTTTTCCAAAAAAAAAAAAAATAATAAAAGGAAGTAGTATTTTTTAATTTGGTTTCATGTATTTTTGGATATTTCGCTGCCATCTACTCACTAATTCATAAATTATTTAGAATTTAGAATAGTGGTCAGATTAATCCCCAATTATCTTGATGTTTTCCCAATAGTTTCATCGTTAAATTCACTTGCAAATCACCAACTAAATGACATGTATGAGCGAGAGAACATACTGAAAGGAAAATGCGCACATGAGTGTGCAAGAAAGGGATGCACAATCGCACAGCCGGAGAAGTGGTAATTTTTTTCCCCAAGCCCATACAAAACTAACCGCTAAACTGACGAAAAGTATTAGGGTCGTTTGCACCATGTCTAGTTAACGCTAACAGGAGGTACATCCTTCAGTTAAGCACGTTAACTGCTTTATCGATCACATGTTATATGATGGGTGTCGATACCGTCGATAAAGATGTTTAACTGGGAGTTAGCGTTAACTAGACATGGTGCAAACGGNTAATTTTTGAGATCCCAAAAATGTGATTGAACTAATGTTCATTATATGTATTAATATTCGACAATATTAATATCTCAAAGATCTCGTTTTGTTACCGGAAGGCGAATAGTTTTAATGTCGTTCTAATTAACTGATTTTTTTCCTAGTGGATTTTAATTATTAATGTTTATGTGAAAATTAAGAGCTTTTTACTATTGTAGTTCATCGATTTTTTGCAGTTTTTATTTTATGCTTACTTTTTCCTTTTTTTTGAGTTTTTATGTGAAAATTTAGATCATTAATTTTAGTCCTTAAACTTTTTTTATTGAAGTTCATCGAGAAAGTCGATATTTTTGTTCTCACATTAATGTATCAAGATATCATATGGTTACAGTTCATTATATTAATGTTTTCAAACCACTGAAACTTCTAAGTCCTATAAAATATGATATTTTAACGTTAAATGAAGAAACTCTAATTTTTAAGATTTCAAAAATGTATTAATATACGACAATATATTTTTCCAAAAAAAAAAAAAATAATAAAAGGAAGTAGTATTTTTTAATTTGGTTTCATGTATTTTTGGATATTTCGCTGCCATCTACTCACTAATTCATAAATTATTTAGAATTTAGAATAGTGGTCAGATTAATCCCCAATTATCTTGATGTTTTCCCAATAGTTTCATCGTTAAATTCACTTGCAAATCACCAACTAAATGACATGTATGAGCGAGAGAACATACTGAAAGGAAAATGCGCACATGAGTGTGCAAGAAAGGGATGCACAATCGCACAGCCGGAGAAGTGGTAATTTTTTTCCCCAAGCCCATACAAAACTAACCGCTAAACTGACGAAAAGTATTAGGGTCGTTTGCACCATGTCTAGTTAACGCTAACAGGAGGTACATCCTTCAGTTAAGCACGTTAACTGCTTTATCGATCACATGTTATATGATGGGTGTCGATACCGTCGATAAAGATGTTTAACTGGGAGTTAGCGTTAACTAGACATGGTGCAAACGGCCCTTAGTCAGTTTTTCCACTAATTTAGTCGATAATCATAGTTCAGGCTTCTAGCAGGATTCTGGGTAGGAATGTTCGATACTTAAGAAAGTATCGATATCATGAATCGATTTAATNGTAGTCAGTTTTTCCACTAATTTAGTCGATAATCATAGTTCAGGCTTCTAGCAGGATTCTGGGAAGGAATGTTCGATACTTAAGAAAGTATCGATATCATGAATCGATTTAATAGCCCCTTTTCCGACAAGTCAAATCTTGAAAGCAATTTTTATCGCATTCTCTTTTGTGTTTTCTCTTTGCTTCCACACGCATCACGTTTTATCGAATTCAACTACTTGGTTCTTTAAACGGGAAGCAACGAAAAGATCATTAGAGAACAAGAAAACTTGAAAAAAATTTACGGTACGGAGGTATCTGTACTCTTCCCCTCTCTTCCCTCCAGCCTCACCAATGAACGAGCAGACTTGAAAGCAAGACTTGACGTGTCTGAAAGAGGACATACATTGTATGTAAAATCGATATGGCGATATATCGGGCTGAACAATATCGATATCAAAAAAGTCGATGTTAAAAATCCAATTCCCAATTGAATAGAATATTAAACCAGCCCATCAGCTCACTCCAATTTCCAATTTGTATATTTACTGAGGATTAAAACGGCATGCCCCCTGCCAGCCAAAAGTAGTGAAAAATCTGGTGAAACCGCGGTAAATTTTGTATGGTCGGTGTGCAGATTTTCACCAGTTTATAACCTTAAAAACTTTATATTTTCAAAATGCATTGTTATACTAATATACATAGTAATCAATATTATTAATAAAAATGGAACAAATGCACAATACCTACAAATCTCGAATTAAAAAAAAAAAAAAATAGGATCGATAGAGATCATTGAGGTAAATATAGCGGTATATATATTTTGGGTGGGCTTTCCAAAACGGAACCAATCGAAATTTCCGCGAAAGTATAATGAATTTCGTCATGAAACTTGGTGAGGATGTTGGCGCGATTTTTTATTTAAAATTTTAGCCTGCGGCGCTTTATATTCTAAAAATCGATACTTCGATGAATAATGAACATTTTTAATAAAACATCGCTTTTTATTATAAAATCGATATTTCGATAAATTATGCAACTTTTTAATCAAAAATCGACCAATTTAATAATTAAATTTTTTTTATTAAATATCGCGCGATCATTATCTGCATTTTTTTATTGCTTCCGTTTTGTGTTTTTGAGGCATTTTTTCATATGTATGGCAGCACTGACATTTCACTTCAATTGGTGTACAAAGCAAAAGGTGAGGTTAAATTCGGTATTTTTTGCAACTTTAAATGCGAATTACTTTAAAACTATAAGCCTCCGGAGGGTGGGGTCTTCAGATTTAGAATCTGAAAAAGCTCCTCTATACTCCCTAATATTTTTTTTTTCAAAGCCTGGATCCGTTTTGGAAAATTTTCCCTATATTTTTTTTGGGAAACAACAACTACAACAATTATTAAAGGTCAAAGTTCAAATTAAGCATTTTCTTTAATTAACATTTCTCGAAAACCTCTTCAAGGAATTGGGCAATTTTGATGTCATATATGATAGAGAGTTTAATTCTCTTTAATTTGATATACATATTTATACATATGTATACCTTTTTATAGTTTTCACAAAAATCTAATTAATGTGTATATTTGCGTAGGCGGCCTTTGGCCGCACTTATGGATTATAACCCTCATAAAGTAGAATTCTCTTTCTGTGTTGCGAAGAAAAAGCGCTGAACTCCTTTTGCAGAAAACACCTTTCGGCGTAGGCGGCTTCGGCCGCGCTTATGGATTATAACCCTCACAAAGTACAATTCTCTTTCTGTGTTGCGAAGAAAAGGCGCTGAACACCTTTTGCAGAGAACACCTTTCTGCGTAGGCGGCCTTGGCCGCACTTATGGATTATAACCCTCACAAATTAGAATTCTCTTTCTGTGTTGCGAAGAAAAGGCGCTGAACACCTGTTGCACAGAACACCTTTCTGCGTAGGCGGCCTACGGCCGCGCTTATGGATTATAACCCTCACAAAGTAGAATTCCACATTAATTAGATTTTTGTGAATACTATAAAAGATATATGCATAAATATGTATATCAAATTAAAGAGAATTAAATTCTCTATCAAATGAAATCAAAATATCGAGAAATATTAATTAAAAAACATGCTTAATTTGAACGTTGACCTTTAATAATTGTTGTAGTTGTTGTTTCCCAAACAAAATATATACATCGTTACGCTCACCTCAATGATCTCCTTCGATCCCAACATGAATTTTTTTAATTTGAGAATTGTAGGTATTCTACATTTATGCCATAAAAATTACAATTAAGATTAATAATAAAGGCGCATATTCATAGTCATATTTAGTACTCAACTAAGGGCCGTTTGCACCATGTCTAGTTAACGCTAACTGGAGGTACATCCTTCAGTTAAGCACGTCCACTGCTTTATCGATCACATGTT